CCAGAATTTTTTTAAGTTTTATTAATTACAACACTCGGCGGGAAGTTGAGTGTCTGTAATCAACATAGGGAATATATTTTCTAAGTGCCAAAGGACTGCACACAGACATGCATAGAGACACGATTACCCACCAATAAACAAGAATACATTCCATTGATGCCCTTAGTATTCCTTTGAGACAGAGTCTTCCTCTGTCGTCCAGGCTGGAGGAGTGCAGCGGCGAGATCTCCACTCACTGCAAGCTCCGCCCCCCAGGTTCACGCCATTCTCCTGCCTCAGCCTCCCGAGTAGCTGGGACTACAGGTGCCCGCCACCACACCCGGCTAATTTTTTGTATTTTTAGTAGAGACAGGGTTTCACCGTGTTAGCCAGGATGGTCTCGATCTCCTGACCTCGTGATCCGCCCGTCTCTGCCTCCCAAAGTGTTGGGATTACAGGTGTGAGCCACCGCGCCCGACCAGTATTCCAATTTTAACAGGTGAATGAATTAATACATAAAGTCCTCTCTTGATAAAATGCATTAGTAAGCTTAGAGCAACTAATGATCAAATCATTATTTTATCAATGGCAAAATAGGTTCAACAGAATAAACTTAAGAATTATCTTAGATAACTGGGCGCAGTGGCTCACACCTGTAATCCCAGCACTTTGGGAAGCAGAGGCAGGCGGATCACTTGGGGTCAGGAGTTGGAGACCAGCCTGGCCAACATGGTGAAACTCCATCTCTATTAAAAACACAAAAATCAGCTGGGTGTGGTGGCAGGCGCCTGTAATCCCAGCTACTTGGGAGGCTGCTAGGCAGAAGAATCGCTTGAACCCGGGAAGCGTAAGTTGCAGTGAGCCGAGACCGCCCCATTGCACTCCAGCACAGGCAACAAGAACGAAACTCCATCTCAAAAAAAAAAAAAAAAAAAAAAACTGCCTTAGATAATCTTAATTTGGTCTTTTTAATCAGTTAACTTTTAAAAAATGGGTCTTTCTCAGAATTCTAATTTAAGAAGACATAGATAAGGAAATACTTTCACTTAATCTTAAAAAAAAGAAAGCAAGCAACATTGCTCTATAAAACAGAAAGCTTTTCTACCACTGAAAGCCAGGAGTAATTTCCACTGATTACCGTGGCACCCAATGGTAGGCACTGCCACAAGAACAAGAGGCTAAAAGGTTTAAAAAAAAAAACTTTCAGCATTCCGGCAGGATGCAGTGGTTCACACCTGTAATCCTAGCACTTTGGGAGGCTGAGACGGGTGGATCACCTGAGGTCAGGAGTTCAAGACCAGCCTGGTCAACATGGTGAAACCCTGTCTCTACTAAAATAAATTTTTAAAAAATTATCTGGGCTTGACAGTGGGTGCCTGTAATCCCAGCTACTCGGGAGGCTGAGACTGGAGAATCACCTGAACCTGGGAGACGGTGGTTGCAGTGAGCCGAGACTGCGCCACTACACTCCAGCCTGGGTGGCGGAGAGAGACTCTGTCTCAAAACAAAAAAAGCTTTCAGCATTCCACTAATCCACTAGCAAACTCAAATGTCTATAGATTGTCTATATTTCTTCAATCAAAATTCTGGAACAAAATACACAGCTTTGAAAGAGGCAGTGCTCCCTCCCTCTCCCAGAGCAGCTGATGTGATGTTGTATTTCTCTTTCTCTTCATACACACTCCCATACATGTTTGCCTTGCTTTTTCTTTCAGTAACATTGAACACTGCAGTTTCATAAACTATTTCTGATAGTTTCCATTTTAAATCTATTTTATCTCCTCATTCTATGTTCCTAAACCAAACACTTAACTGAATTGCCTACTTCATAATCTCTCCAACCACTCTTAACAAATGCAAACCTGAAATCAGAATTTAAACACCGGCTTAAAAATTTTTTTTTTTTTTTTTTTTTTTTTGAGACGGAGTCACACTGTGTCGCCCAGGCTGGAGTGCACTGGCGCGATCTTGGCTCGCTGCAACCTCCGCCTCCCGGGTCACGCCATTCTCCTGCCTCAGCCTCCCAAGTAGCTGGGATTACACGTGCCTGCCACCACACTAGGCTAATTTTTTGTATTTTTAGTAGAGACGGGGTTTCACCGTGTTAGCCAGGGTAGTCTCAATTTCCTGACCTCATGATCCACCTGCCTCGGCCTCCCAAAGTGCTGGGATTATAGGCATGAGCCACCACGCCCAGCCAAACCAGTTTAAAATTTTCTAAAAATTTGTGTTCCATGTCTTATGAGACTTACACTAAATAGGGGTTTCAAAATAACATGGCCTGCCATATGGTCAAGCCAGATTTAAAAATTGAGAATATCTATTACCAATCCACTAATGCTAAAGCCAAAGTCACAGACAGTAAGAATGTAATCCAATTTAGAGACCAACATGAGCCAAATCTTTTGGGCAGAGACAAACAATCCAACGACAAAACTACAATAAATGCCAACACTGCACTTCTAAAATAAAATCAACATTATTCATTAAAGTATTAGCTACAAAAAGTCAACTGATGGTAGATGAGTCTACAGACGCCCTGAAGACCTTTTTCATCCTTTAATCAAAGCGGTATTTAGCTACAAAGCTACAACTTTTCCAGTGGATCAACACACACAGAAAATGAACCAAAAGACAGAAAATTTTTAACAAAGCAAAGGGAAGAGAACAAAGCTCTGGTACTTTTGCAGGATAGTACAACACCTCCTTTACGAAATAAATTAACTCCTCAAATTCTATTTCTCAAGTGATCAATATAAATCTACCTACATGATACAAGCTTTGAAACCGAAGTCATTGGGCATAAAAAAGATTTACAGAGGTTTAACTCTTTAGAGACAGTCTCACTCTGTCACCCAGGCTGGAGTGCAGTGGCGCAATATCGGCTCACCGCAATCCCTGCCTCCCGGGTTCAAGCGATTCCCCTGCCTAAGCCTCCTGAGTAGCTGGGATTACAGGCGCCCACCACCACGCCCGGCTTTTTGTTTGTTTGTTTGAGACGAGTCTCGCTCGGTTGCCCAGGCTGGAGTGCAGTGGCGCGATCTTGGATCACTGCAAGCTCCACCTCCCGAGTTCACACCATTCTCCTGCCTCAGCCTCCCGAGTAGCTGGGACCACAGGCACCCGCCACCACGCCCAGCTAATTTTTCTATTTTTAGTAGAGACGGGGTTTCACCGTGTTAGCCAGGATGGTCTCCATCTCCTGACCTCGTGATCCACCTGCCTCAGCCGCCCAAAGTGCTGGGATTACAGGCGTGAGCCACTGCGTCCGGCCAATTTTTATATTTTTAGTAGATACAGGGTCTCACCATGTTGGCCAGACTGGCCTCAAACTCCTGGCCTCATGTGATCCGCCCCACCTCCCAAAGTGCTGGGATTACAGGAGTGAGCCACCACACCCAGTGGGTTTTAAGCTTAAAAACAAACGACAACAAAAAACACACTATTCTGCAGCCTCCTGAATCTTCTAAGATCAAAATTAAACCTGAGAAAATTTACTTCAACTCTCCCACCCCTCCCCAAAACAGAATTAACTGAAGATATCGAAGAAAAATAAAAACATTTTAAAGATATCACTGAAGAGCACTGTCAGTACTTGTCTGATGAGGTAACTATGACTGTGTCATAAATTCAGATTATGCGAGAGAAATAGCTTTTGTCCAGTGGATGTGCTCTTTTGAGAAAGTCAATTCTGAGCTGAAATTTAATGTTGGAACAGTTTCCTCTATAAAACTCATCTTGAAAGGTTCCAGCAGAAGATGAAATGTCATCCTCACACTGGGCCTGGGCAGTGCGTGCTTAACTGGGAGGGGGCACAGGCACCTCAGAACTTAACTGGTTTTCCAACTCTCAATGTCTGAAAGAAAAAAAAAAGGGACTTTCAGTGTTGACGAAACCAAACGTTCCTAACCTGGGACCACCGTCCGACACCTGCAGTCCAGCCTTCCCCTAGGGTTGACAGGATGAGCCTGTAGACCTTGCAGTTGCAGTCCATTTCTGCGCAGCTCTCTAATTGTTAGAAAGTTCCGCCTTACCATCGGACGCGGTGGCTCACGCCTGTAATCGCAGCACTTTGGGAGACCAAGGTGGGTGAATCACCTGAGGTCTGGAGTTCAAGACCAGTTTGGCCAACATAGTGAAACCCCATCTCTACTAAAAATACAAAAAATTAGCTGGGTGTGGTGGCGGTAGCTGTAATCCCAGCTACTCGGGAGGCTGAGGCAGGAGAATCACTTGAACCTGGGGGGCAGAGGTTGCAATGAGCTGAGATCGCACCATTGCACTCCAGCCAGGGCAACAAGAGCGAAACTCTATCTCAAATAATAATAATAATAATAAAGTTCTGCCTTACCATAAACCAAGCCAAAACCCACCACTTGGTCCTACCCTGCGGAGGCTCTCAGACCTGTCTCCATGTCAGTGGCACCAGCTTCCTCCCCAGCCACGCACCCAGCGTTAGCAAAGAAAGAAGGAACCACCTATTCACTTTCTTGATATATATACCTTCCCAAAGAATCCAGAATAAACTATATATCTCAATAGCATGAAAATTAAAACCTTACATTCAATAAACAGCTCCTCCCTCTCCCAAAAGACTATCACTTCAGATTAGAAAATAACTTATTCAGAAACCTTATCGATAACAATGCTTGCTCCAAAGGCCTTATTCAGTATGCATGGTTCACTGGGACTTTTCACAAAACTAATACGTCCATTTGCTAATCATGAAAAATAATCTTCATATTTTCTTAATTAATAATCTCACCAGCAACTGCTTAATCACCTAATACTATTTGAGACTGTTATCAGATAGATAGCAACCTGAAAATACAATGAACCAATGCTCCCCAAACGAAAACCGTAGGTTAAAATTTCTACACTGTTTATCCATAAGTCGAGCACTGTACACCCTAACTGTAAATGCACACCAACTCCCTTTTCAAAACACAAATTTTAACATCGGCGTTTTCCTTCAATAAATGCATTTCACAATCCTAACAAAAACCTTCCATGAAGACAGGATGGACATGGTGGCTCAGGTCTCTAATTCTAGCACTTTGGGAGGCTGAGGCGAGAGGATCGCTTGAGCCCCAAAGTTCGAGACCAGCCTGGTTAACAGGATCTCTTTTACACAGAGATCCCATCTCTATTATTAAAAAAAAAAAAAAAGGGGGGTTCCATGCAAATGAATTTAGCAAACAAAGCTGATACTGCTTCTGCATGCTAACCATGTAATTTAAAAGACACAAGAAATGTTAAAATACTATTTGAACCAACTATCAATTGACAAGGAAAAATATAGGAGGTTCTTAAAAGTGAAAAGCTTCAGCCGACAGTCGTGTGGAATTTTCAGCTCCCCACTCCCCACCCCCATCCAGCTTCCAGCCGAAAAGCCGATCCAGGCAGGAGGAAGACACCCAGCCTTTGTGCTATTTCCTGTCCTCTCCCCCACCTTCGGGCCTTCGGAATATCGCAAACCGGGCCCCGAAACTCGGAGCGGCGGTGGCCGCCCCACAAAGGCACCGCCAGGAGCGCCATCTTGGCGCGGCCACCGGGCCCATTCATTCGCGGGCCCGGGCCCGGGTCCGCGCAAGCCCCCGGCCGACACGCGCGGGGCGCCGGCGCCAGACAGACCCCGGCCTCGGCAGGAGAAGGGCGAGGCCACGGCGCGGCCGTCTCCGCGACTCCGCACAGCGAAAGGGCCGAAACCGTTATTTTCCCATTTCCCGACGCCGCGCCCGGCTTCCGCTTTAAATCCCCACTCCGCCCGCGGCGCGCGGCCCGGCTTCCCCATTTCATTGTTCCCCTTCCCCGCGCTCGCCCCCTGCGGCCGCCCGGCCCTCAAAGTCACCCCGATAGGCGGCCCGCGCGGGGGCTCCGGCCGCCGACACCGCCCCGCCTGCACGCCCGCCCGGCCTTTGTTCTCGCGCCGAGGGCCCGAGCGCCACGTCCGGCTCCCCACGCAGGGCCCGGCCCCGCCCGACCCGCGCCCCCGAGGCCCCGGCCGCCGCTACGGGAAGCTCCCGCGGCGCGCACAGCCCCGCACCCAGGGCCGAAACTCGCCCCCAGCCCTGGGCCTCGGACCCCGGCTCCTCGCCCGAGACCCCGCCCTCGACCCCGACCCTGCACCCCGAACCTCGGACCCCAGCTCCCGGCCCCCGCCTTCGGACGCCGCCCGCCGCACCCGGGCGGGGCAGGAAGACGCGGCCCAGCCGGCGGGTGCGGTGGGGGCGGGGCGGGCGCCCCCTGGGCGGGCCGGTGGACGAACTGAGGCCGGGTCGGGGGCTGGGGGCTGCCGCGCTCACCTCAGCGCCCTCGTCGCGGCCTGACGCGCCCGCACCGCCGCCTCGGCCGCTGCTCGGGAGGTCGTCGCGCTCGGGCCGCGCTGCGCGCTCCGCGGGCGCTGCGGGCAGGTGCGCACCGGCAAGGCTCGGTCCACTCCCGCCGCGGCGGCTGCTCCACTCCCGACCCCGCTCCCCACTCGCCGCCCGCGCCCGCTCCCGCTCCCGCTCCCGCCGCCGCCGCCGCCGCCGCCTCCGTCCGCCCCTCAGACGCCTCCAGCCATCGGGATGGGCGCGGCGGGCCCCTGCCCGCAGTCTCGGGAAACCCCACGCGTTCGCGTCACCACGCACGTCGCGCGTCGCGCGCGCTCGCTAGGCCCGACGGGCACGCGCACGCCTGCGCGCTTGCAACTCGCAACGGGCCCGAGCGCGTGTCCGAGCGGCTTAAAGAGGCCGTGTTGCTGTCTTCCGGGACCGCTGCTTCAGGAGACCCCCCCGGCGGCCCGGCCCTGCGGGGACCGAGCGGGATGGGGACCGGGGCAGTGGGCCCTCGGAGACGGGACGGGGCGGGGGGAACACTGGCGCGGAGCCCTCCGGGGACAGCGTAAGGTTGGGTAGCCGCGGGCGGGGGCTCCTCCGGGGGCGGTGGTTGGGTAACGGCGGGCGGGGGGCACTCAAGGGACCGGGCAGGGGCGGGGAAGGCCGCGGGCGGGGGCGGTCCCTCCGGGGACGGGGCGAGTAGGGGCACCGCGGGCGAGGTCGTTGCCTGCAGAGGAGGCGCCGGGCCCCGCGAGCAGGTCGGGGTCCCGGGCAGGCGCAGGTGCCCCCCGGCCTCTCAAGCAGGGACTGCGGCGAGCTCAGACGGGGCTGGCGGGCAGAGACCCGCGCGTGGGCTCAGTGCGTGTGAGGTGGGCCTCGGGCTGCGGAGGAGGGCAGCGCCCCGTGGCTCCTCTCGCTGCTGCGGGCAGGGCCGCCTGGCAGAAGCGGAGGCCGCGGACCCCTCCCAAGCCGCTGAGCAGTGGACAGCGGGGACCGGAGACCCCAGGTGAGGAAGGGGAACGAAGTCAAGAAGGCCACATGTCCTGGCTTCCAGGCTTGGTGTCCTCAGAAGCCTCCAGAACGTCCATGGAACCCGCCCCTGTGCCCACCGCCTCCTGCTGTCTTTCCAGCTGAGCTCCGGCTGCCCCTCACCCCCGGCTTCTTCCCTCTGCTCCTCCCCAGCCAGCGCCCTGCTCTTCCACCCGCCTGGGCCTTCATCCCCTCCGAGCTCCCCTTCCACACCAAACCTGGCGTCCGTTTTCCTCCAGGCCTGCACCGGCACAGTCGAAAGGGAGAAAGACCCAGCTTCATCCCCTGGGCCTCCCCTCAACCAGGGCCCCAACCTCAAGGGGCCACCCACCCCACCCCCAACGCCTATTTCCCACCTTCTACTCTCTCCACACCCTGGGATACCACCCGCCTCTCTCAACTGGCGTTTTCCTTCTCATTTTGTGTGCATGGCGCTTGTGTGAGGAAGCAGACACACAGTAAGTGCGGCTTCTGGATGCGTCCGCCGCCTGCCCTCCCTGCCACGCGCTTCCCCTCCCTGGGGAGCCTCCACCAGACAGGGAACCCATGCCTTCCCACCCTTCTGTCTCCCTCCCACTTCACTTGTCCGCGTCATTCCCGGAGGCCTTTATTTCTGGCACGAGATGCTCCAGGGTCCTGTTGTATCCTCCCTGCCCCAGCCTGAACCCAGCTATTTCTGCTGGCAACCTGGTTCATTGTGGGAGAATGTCATGCAGAGCCGGGGATGGGGTCCCGGGTGTGCTCATTGCTACTGGGGTGTCCTTGCAGCTGGTGGAGCAAGGGAGCACATCTATGTACATGCTCCCACGTATACGTATACACACAGTTTCATGGGTGTTTTTGTCTATGATTTTCTTGGGCGCCACGCATTTACTCTGATGCAAGGCCGACACTGCAGGGCTCAACCTGTTCCGAATGAGGGGCATCCTGCTTTGGGAGTGAGGAACCTGGCTCTGATTATGTCCTGTGTAACCAGTCTCTCATCCTCTCTTCCACCCCACTGTATGCTACCCACTCCTCACCCTGTGTGGCCTCTGACCTCCACTGGGCCACCGAGGTGCCATCCCCACAGGGGCACCTACCTACCTAGCACAAGTGAGCAAGGACTGAATTCCCAGGGAAGTTTTTTGAATTTTTATTTTATTTATTTATTTTTGGGTTTTTTTTTTTTTTTTTGGTGTTTTTTTTTTGAGATGAGGGTCTCCCTGTATTGCTCAGGCTGGTCTCAAACTCCTGAGCTCAAGCAGTCCTCCCACCTCAGCCTTCCGAAGGGCTGGGATCACAGGCAGGAGCCACTGCGCACACGGCCTGAATCGTCAATCATATCACTGAAAGCATTGACAGTTCCCATCACCTACTCTCTCCCCAGGGTCCAGGCCCCTCCTCCCCTCCCCACTGTCCAGACGCTGGCTCCTCGATGCTCCCTGACACCACCGAATTCCATGCTCCAGCCTTTGGCCCAGTGGCTCTGTCTGCCTGGGACAGTCTCCCCATAACCTCGTGTAGTTCAGGCCTTTGCGGGTGTCACCTCCAGGGAGATGTCTCCCCAGCCCTGACCATCCCTCCCAGGTACCTTGCTGGTTTCTTTTCTCCTGTGGTTTCTTCCTGGCTGCCTTCTCTGGGCCCTCCTCCTGTTGCCGTGTGAGCCCTGTGAAGCCCACTCTTACCGCTGCTCCACCAGCCCAGCGTGGTGCCAGGCACACGGGGTCATCAGAGAACAGCTGGTGTGGCCGATGCTCTGAGTTCTGAGTGAGGAAGATGCAAGCCAGCACAGGGACCAGAGCCCAGAGCAAGAGATCAGGAGGGGCAGAACCATCACCTGGGCCAGAACAAGGGCAGGGCGCGAGGAACCTGAGTGGCTGGACGTCAGGAGAGCTGGGCCCCTGCCGGAAGCCTTCTCTGCTTGGACTCTCGAGAGGCGGGATGGAGCATGGGGGCATATCAAGGGCCAAGGGACGATGCAAAGTCAGTCGGCGGACGGTGTTCTGCACATTGGCAGGTGAGGGGTTAGAGGTGGCCCTCAGAATCTGGCAGGCCTAATGCCAGCCTTCAATGCCCACCTGAGTTAAAAGTGGAACTAGGCTGGGTGCGGTGGCTCATGCCTGTAATCACAACACTTTGGTAGGCAAAGGCGGGCGGATCACAAGGTCAGGAGATCGAGACCACGGTAAAACCCCGTCTCTACTAAAAATGCAAAAAATTGGCCGGGCGCGGTGGCAGACACCTGTAGTCCCAGCTCCTTAGGAGGCTGAGGCAGGAGAATGGCGGGAACCCGGGAGGTGAAGCTTGCAGTGAGCCAAGATTGCGCCACTGCACTCCAGCCAGGGGGACAGAGCGAGACTCCGTCTCAAAAAAAAAAAAAAGTGGAACTGAGGAGCAGGGAGAGGAGGCTGAGGCAGCAGTCGTTTGTCACCAGAGACCTTCCAGCAGCTGTGGGATGGGAGGGGCCCCGGAAGGTCCCTGCAAGCCTGGCCCAGGGCCATGGAGGAGCCTCAGGAGGAGTGGCCACCACACTGCAGGCCAGACTGGGCAGTGGCAGGGCTGTGCCCTGGGGCTCCCTTGTCCCACAGGCCACCATCAGACTGGTCAGCCCATCTCGTTACAGCCAGGGCCATGGAGGAAGGCCACACAGGAGGACGCCAGGCCAGTGCCTGCCTTAGCCATATCCAAGGGGCAGGGTGCAGCCCCAGCACCTCCAGCTTATCTGTAGGTCGTCATGGTGAGGCAGGGCTGTCCCTGGAACTTGCCCCATAGTCCAGGCAGAAATCCTATTTGATGGTTTATGGAAGGCAAAGTTGAGAGGAAGGAGGGAGGGAAGGAGCAGGGGCCCCGGGTGCTTACTCCCAGGTCCTTACTGCAGCCTGGGGCTGCCCTCTGCAGTACACAGTCCCTGGAAGGTAGGGGCATCTGCCCTGAGTACGGTGTGACCGCAAAGATGCTTCCCGCCTCCAGCCAGAGCCCATCCCTAGAGATAAGAAACACCGGAGCCCTTGGTGGCCTGGGGGATCTAGAGCCGGGCTCAGACCTGCCCTCCCTGCTCCACCTCCATTCCTTTCAGCCCAGGCCTCTTGTGTCTTTTGGCCCTCTCCTACTGCCCCACCCTCTCCCTGGCAGAGCAAACGCTTCCCAGTGACACTCCCTTCTCTGCAAGGATCTCAGAGATCAGCCTGGGTTCCTGAGTCCAGAGCCACACCCAGTCAGCTCTGGGTCCCTAAGTCCAGAGCCATACTCGGTCAGCTGTGCCCAACCCAGGGCAGGACTGAGCTGGGCCCCAGGGCGGAGGTGGCTGCCCCGATACTGGCTCCACACCAGGCCTTCTCTAAAACCCCTGGGAGGGGAGACACAATTCAGATGCCCCACCCCCACCTGCTCCTCAGCAGGAAATGGTCTAACGGGAAAGTAGGTCTTTTAAATCTGAATTATTCAATCTGTGCACGTGACAGGACCCGCAGCTCCACCTCTGTGCGCTCCCCGGGCGCTGCGCTCCAGCCAGGCTTTGAGGGGTCTCGGAGCTGCAGGAGACATTTCTAGATTTCCAGCTTTGGCAGGAGAGGTCCCTTTGTCTTGCCCTGGGCTCTAGGCTCCTGCAGGGCATCTGTCCTCCTCCTACCAGCGCTGTGAGGTTCTCCACCACACGGCCCTCTGCCATCGTCTTCACTTCCAGTGAGATCCAGGCCCCAAAGGACAGAATGGAGAGGGAGGGAGAGAGGAGCGCGTCGTGACGGTGCCCGGGGGTGCAGAATGTAGGTGATCAAGAAGAAAGCCCTAATTAGCTCCTGCAGCTTTCAAAGGCAGGGGCTGGTGGAGGAATGGGGCCACGGCACCTCTCCAACCCTCAGCACACACCTGCCGATGCCCACTGGGTGCCAGGGCGGGTTTAGCACCAGGCCCTGGCCCTGAGATCAGAGCAGGGCAGCTCTGCTTGAGGGGTTGAGTAGGGCCCTGGTGCCCAGCTTCATGGGGAGTGGCCAGTGAGGAGGTGTCACCGCAGCAGAGCCAGGCACAAAGTGAGGACAGCTGCTGTGGCTAGTGAATGAGTGGCTGGCAGAGCTGGGAGGGTCACTGCCCTGCAGAGTCACAGACATCATGGCCCAGGAGGCTAGTGTGGCAGGCAGAGCGAATACCGGGCCTTGGGGGCCTCTGGGAGGAGGCTAGCTGTAGCCTCCTGGACCCTGTCTTGCAGGTGACGGGTCCTGGTCTGTACCCGACCAGGACCCGTCCCTTGTTCCGAAGCTCCCCACCATGCTTCTCACCCCTGACCCTCCTGGCCACCAGCCTGTGGTCATGAATCATGAATTGCACATCCTTCTTGGGCACACGTGCAGGCACACCCAAGCTGGGTATACATGCATGTGCACAAACACATGAGCTGGGTATATACACATGTGCACACACTGGGGAATCAGTGTCTGCTGGGGGGTGGAGGAGGTGATAGTGTAAGTGAGCAGATGCATTGAGGGGCATGTTTCCCCTCCCTGCTAGCGTTGGACTAGAATCCCCGGGGAAAACTCAGGTGGCCTCCTGTCACTCTGGTGAGTGGCCCCAGCTGGGCTGACACGCGCAGAGGTAGATGCGTAGCTTAGACCACCAGTTCCAGTAAAGGCCTGGCAAGACCCAGCCCCTGCCTCCCCTGCAGGCAATGGAAGAATTCACCTTTCTCCTTAGAGGCCTTTATCATGGGCCCATCTGACCTCACTGCAGAATCCCGGAACTGCACACACAGAGATAGAAATCCTAGCTCTGTCCAGTGGCCCTGAGTGCCACAGATGAACCTAAATGAGGGACTTTTGTTTTAGTTTTAGTTTTTGAGACAGAGTCTCGCTCTGCTGCCCAGGCTGGAGTGCAGTGGCACAATCTCGGCTCACTGCAACTTCCGCCTCCCGGGTTCCAGCAATTCTCCCGCCTCAGCCTCCCGAGGAGCTGGGACTACAGGGGGGCACCACCATGGCCCGGCTAATTTTTGTATTTTTGTATTTTGTATTTTGTATTAAATTTTGTAATTTTGTATACCCAGCTTGTGTGTGCATACATGCATGTATACCCAGCTCGAGTGTGTCTGTACACATGCACATATACCATCTGGTGTGCATGTACACGTGAGTATACCGTTTAGGTGTGCATGTACATGTGTGTATGTCCAACTCGTGTGTGTGCATGCACATTTACCAGCTCCAGTGTGTTTGCACACATGCATGTGTACCATCTACTGTGCGTGTACATGCATGTATACCCAGTTTGGATGTTTACACATGCTCAATTCATGTGTGCATGTACATGTGAGTATACCATGTATACGGGCCAGGCTGGTCTCAAACTCCTGACCTCGTGATCTGCCCACCTTGGCCTCCCAAAGTGCTAGGATTACAGGTGTAAGCCACCATGCCCAGTCAACGAGGGGCTTTTTCTTTTCTTTCCTTTTCTTTTTTTTTTTTTTTTTTTTTTTTTGACAGAGTCTCGCTGCATTACCCAGGCTGGAGTGCAGTGGCGCAATCTCAGCTCACTGCAATCTCTGCCTCTCGGGTTCAAGTGATTCTCCTGCCTCAGACTCCTGAGTAGCTGGAATTACAGGCACCTGCCACCACACTCAGCTACTTTTCGTTTTTTGTTTTGTTTTTTGTTTATTTTTAGTAGAGATGGAGTTTCACCATGTTGGTCAGGCTGTTCTTGAACCTGACCTCGTGATCCACCCCACCCCCCACCCAGCCTCCCAAAGTGCTGGGATTACAGGTGTGAGCCACCACACCCGGCCAAGGGACTTTTCAATGTCGTCCCCATTCAAGGAGTAACAGACCTTTTGTTTAAAATACAAACCTCGGCCATGCGCGGTGGCTCACG